AATAGGAAGATTGCAAGGCTCACTCGGTCCGGGAGATAGGGCGGTGCAGCAGTGACAGAGATTCAAAGAAAAATTTTCTCGAAAATACTATGTGATGTATTTTTCCATAGGGCAATGCTTTGTAATTATCCGTAAAATTATGTGATGTGTTTCCCCATTTTTAGATTGTCATCTGCAGTCAACTTTTAAGTCCTTTTGGGTGGGAAGTCCGAATCCGTCTATGTGAGGTTAAGTGGAGTGCTCGGGCAGATGAGGTTGGTTGCAGTCTCGTATCATAGCTTTTGACCAATTCTTTTTAAAAATAATTAGTCGTTAAACTATAATTTGCTAACAAGCATGCGATAATTATAGCCATAATTTACATATCTCTATAATGTACATAAAATATAAGTGAAATAAAATTGTTTTATCCCCTTTAAAAACTAAACTTTGAAAGTTAAAATGGGGGTATTTTTTTATGCGACATGAATGATTTGGGCGGTATAAATGTAAATAATAAGATTTTTGTGTTCGGTATGGATGTAAATGCCCTTATTTTGTTATTGCTTTATAAGGAAAGGATGAAGATTTCCATTCATACTACTAAATTCTTGCCTTTTTACACATTTAACACTTATGTTTCAATTTTTACACACATGGACCTCAACTCTACACAACATTGTGTATTTCACCTTGTATAAAAATTAGACTAGCGGTATTTTAGCTGTGTTATGAAAGATTTTGATGATATAAATGTAAGTAAAACTTAGATGTTAGATATGTAAAATTGTAAATACATAGATGTGCGATGGTATGTCTTGTTAATGCCCCAAGAAAAAAAAAATATTTTATGATCACTTGCACATGTTTGTGAATGTCAAAGTAAGAATGATACGGACAAAAAGTCTTATGAAATTATAGAAGATAGTTTAGGAGTAAGGCTATATTTAAGAATGTAGCGAAGCTCCGTTCCGTTGCAGTGAATGTTCATGCATGAATTTTCTTTCGTTTGATAAAATAATCTCCTGAAGTTCTTTTGACAGGACGATAATTTTTTAGCGTTTCAGATAATAGATGTCAATGTCCATTTCACGACGTGACTTTTAATGAAACTTCGCTGAGCAAAGAAGCTCCTTCAAAGGAGCCCCTAAACTTGAAGGTAGTTGTTGGCATCGCAGCTTCATTTTCAAACTAAAAGAGCTAACAACTAATTTGATTGCTACTCTTGATGTGTCAAAATTCGGTTTTCTGCCTACACTAAAACCAGCTCACATGCCACCTAATGCATTCCAGGAAAAAAATTACATACATGCCACACAAATTTTATGGATTTTACATATCTAACACCAAAAATTTGATTTTTATATTTATAACATCTTGGTAGTGAAACCCTATGCATGAAAATGCGCATTTCCCTTTCAAATGTTAATAATAGTGGTGATGTTTATGTGATGTCAAATATTTGAGTGCTACATATGTAAATATGAAAGTTTAGTTGTTAGATATATAAATACAAGAGAATTGTATGGTATGTATATAATTGCTCATAATTTTTATTTTTTTACCATTACTGCTTCAATTCAAATAATAAAATTATATCCTATACTCTAAACGCTAATGGCATGACATGACATTTTAGGTATTTTACATGTGTAAGCCTAAGGTTCGGTTGCCCAATGACTCGGTCCATTGAAATCAATTTGTCTTGTCTCGTCAAGACTTGATCATCTGATTGTGCTGAATTGGGGTTGTCAGTTGACTTTTTGTGGCCTTCAGGTTGACTTGACTAGGCTCGATTGGCTTGGATTTGTCGGTTGGTTGTTCTATTTTGGCTGTTAGGGTGTGAACGAATCGAGTCGAGCTCGAGTCATGCCTTTATCGAGATCAACTCTTCTGCCAAATTGTGAGCTCGATCTTGAACTTGAGTCAAACTCTAAAGACGAGATCGAGCTTGGTTCGTAATGGTAGCAACAGGCTCTCGAGCGTGAACTAAAAATTCAACTTTTATGATGGGGTGATCGGAGAAAGTATTGGTGGTCGGAGGAGGGTGAATATTATGAGAGAATGTGAGCCACATTTATGTGTGACGGTGTCTGGGCATAGCTTTCTAAATCGAAGCCACTTCAAGATGGCTTGGCGGGATATGCGAGTGAAATAGATTTTATGGTAGGAACTATGCGATAGGTTTTATGGACTCATACTAGCTTGTTATATATTTTTTAGACTAGAGCATTCCTTGCCATTAGGTCATTGCTCTAGTGTCACAAAGTACATTGATTTCCACAAATTGATTAATTCTTAAATTAAGTTTTAGGGGTGTCGACAGTCCTCCATGTTGTGATTGTGGTCATGATGATATACACAATTTTTCTTGAGATCTTTATCGGAGCCATTTGATCTTTATCAGAGCCAATATATTAAAATATTCTTTATTTTTTATGACTCATACTATCTCGCCCATTGAAACTCTCACTGGAGCTGGTTTGGGTGTTTTGTGGTTGGAAAATGGTCGCCCATCATACCAAATTAGACACTAGTTGGGAGACAAGGTCTAACTCCTTCGGTGGTGCGTTTTATTGGTCGCCTTATGATCTTAGGGTGATCAAGCGTCTTCGTAATGAGAATAGGTTAAAGGATGCAATTGTGTCTTAGTTTCCACCCTTTGCCTTGGGCAATCCTTTTTTGTGAGAGAAGAGTGTAGTATTCTACTTTGGAGAAGGTGGTGTTGGAGTTATACTCTCTAGTTAATATGTGGTTGTTAATCAACTCCAAAAACTCAACTAGCATCTTCGATCGTTGTAGGCCAAACACGTATCATAAGGTTCCTCCTTTCAACTAAGAAGACGTAGAAGACCACAGGCTCCATATCCTGCACTTTTAACATCTTCTTCTAGAAGCAGGTGATTAATGAGCACAAATTCTCACTTTATCCCCGACAAAACAGCAGAAGAGCCTGTGAGTTGTTTTAGGCTTATGTGCACCAACATTTTTTATGTCTTGAACATTCACTTGAAATGAGATAACAACATGCTTACTTTCAGTCGTAATCTATTGAACCATTCGAGAGTTGACTCCTTCAGCGTGATAAGGAAAAGATTATATTTTAGTGCATCGATCATTCTCAGCAAGCACACAATCGAATCAAACGAAAATACGTGGTAGATTGAATCAGCCTGCCCTTGTAGAACTTTAGTACTGGGAACTTGAATCGTTGTGGAGGCTCGGCTTTAAAGACTGGTCGCAATAACACGTTCACAGACTCACAGGGTGTTCAATATGCCCCAAACTGATGTCGATCTATCACTAATAAAGTACTAGGAGTCACATTCCTTCTCTAAGACTAGAGGGACTCTTCTGTCGTTGGGTGCCGACCCTTCATATTAGGGTAACATCCTCTTTCTTGGGTCATCGCTCCTTGGATTTCCTCCAACATCCCGTCATTCAACTTCTGGATTTGCTTGGCCACGAAATCGCTGACCCATTCTATGTTGTCGATGTCTCTGTTAACAGACTTTTCTTCTTGTGTCACTCATCTTCTTATTTGTGACATGATTCACGCTCGCCACACCTTTTTGGATATTGATTTCAAATTTATTCACGAATCATATCCAAGGAATAGTGTGCAAATAAGAGAGAGATAAATAGAGAGAGGGGGATGAGTAAACAATGTTCGATCATGTTTTTTTCATAAAAAAATTTCTTATTTATAGATGAGAGGGTATAACAGTAATATTATATTTTTGTGCTTGCTTGGAAGTGGTCTATAATAGGGTATTTCTAGTATTTTACATGCATGAGCTTTATTTCCTGACTGCTTTCTGGCTCTACAAACTGAGCTCAACAAGCTTCAGTTTGACGGAATTAGCTCGATCTGCTAATTTGTTTGGTTGTTATGGATCAGTTAATTGATCAATCCTAACTGTCAATCATTGATCCCCGTTGATGAACCTATGGAGCGTCCATAGGATGTTTTGGAGATGATGTGGAATTGAACCTTCCCTTGGACCGACTCATGGGTTTAGCTTTCTTGTAGTGCTTGACTCGGATGATCTTTTGTCTCGTTTTTAGTTGAAGGACCCATTCATCAATCACCCAATTGTCTTCTTTTCCATCTCGTGGCCCGGTCGGTTTTGTCTTTGTCAGTTTGACTTGTATGACTCAGATCACCTTGTCAAGCGGGCCTCACATTCTCTCAGCAGTCTCTTCTCTTCTAAATCATGAAATCTCTTTAAGATCAGTGATGGAACATCTTTGATGCACATAAATCATGAATTTGAGGTAGTTAAAACTTAAAACTCACAATATCATGATTATAATTTCAGATTTTTATCAATTGTCGGGTTCTTTGGCTGCAAGGAAACTTTAGTTCAAGTAAAGTGGTAAATTTTTTATATTTAGATTTAATAAATCTTGAAAGCATTAAATCCCCAAAAAAAAGGTTCGAAATTGTTATTATAATTAAAATTTCATTAAATAATTTTTAATGTTTCTAAGTTAGATGAATGAGAAGAAAATGAATAAAAGTGGCGTAAATATATTAAAGGTATGTTTGGGGCAGCTTATTTGGCGTAGTGGCGTTTTGAAAACACACCTGATCTGTTTGAGTAAACTGAGTTTTGGTAGCTTATGCATTTTCAAAACGTTTAAAACATCGTTTTCATACCGCACCTGTCTAGGTGCAGTGATAGCTTTCTGGTTGAGGTCTAGCTTTTTCAAAAAAAATAAAAATTTGTAGTAGTCATCGCACATATCTTATCAGTAGATTATTCAATAAGTTGACAGACCCTAAATAATTTTTAATCTTATCTTGCAAAATTTACTGAATTTAATATTTACTTTAAAATAGATGAAAAAATTTACAGAATTTTTGTTTTTCAAAAAGTTATTGATAAAATCTAATCTATGACCCTCAAAGAAAATCCCTCCCTGAACCGGCATCTGTCGGTTAGCTTTTATTGACACCCACAGCAACCAGTAGCTCCTTATAAAACGTAGACAAGGCGTGACAAAACCCCGCTGTCGCTCCCTTAAGATCGCTTCCCCTTTCTCTCTCTTCTCGCTTTTATCTCGCGATCCTCTCACTTCAGATCAAAACGAACCCTAGAACAAAACCCCCCTATCTCCGCCTCCAGATCCCATCCTCTTCCTATAAAAGACGCCGTTTTTAAATCCTCACCCTATAAATTCAACTCGCTACTCCTCTTCCCGCTTAGATCCAACGTTTTCTTGCTCCTGATCATCACTTCGTGCGTCGAACCAGTGAAATCACGGATCTGCTTCTTCTGTGGTATCTCAGTGAGATCTTGACCATCGATCACCTCCGATCTATCCAACCAGCTGAGAACCCCAAGGAAATAATCCTTTCCGCCACCTCTTTTCTCTTTCTCGGTCATCTCAGTAACACCTGCCTTTTTTTTCCACTGAAAAACCTTGTTTTCGGCTCAAATAGCGCTATTTTTAGCTCATAGTGTAAGGTCTAGTGCGTAGTTGTCTTGGAAGAACGCCGATCAGATTAGGATTAAGGACAGAAGGTGTTCCAGTGATAGAGAATCTGAGCGCATATCGGGCTTTACTAAGCTTTGTTTTGTTAGTTCATATATTTGTACAAAGAGGTTTTTTAAGTGAGGAATATGGCGGATCCGGGCTTGGAGGGGAGCCAGCCGGTTGATCTGACCAAGCATCCGTCTGGTATTGTGCCCACGCTGCAGTAAGTTTCGCCCGCCCTTCTTTTGTATTTGGTGTCGGATCTGAGAAATAAGCTGACATAGAAACGCTTGAACTTGATTTCGATTTCATAACAATCTCTAATAAGTGGAAGTGTCAACGCCATCCATCATAGGAAACAGTGCTATGTCGATAAACAATACTATACCAATGCAATATTTTCGGTTTAGTTTAATTTTTATTTTATTTTATTTTAATATTATAATATTAGCTCGAACGATCATCCTGATTATGATCTCATTTAGATGTTGTAATATTAGCTAGAAAGAGCAATGGCGATTATGATTTGTATCTTAATTGTCGTTTTTAAATTTTGAGATGGTTTGAAATGCCAAATTTAGTAAAAATCTTTTTTTTTTTCCTTAAAATAGACCTTAAATGTTTTATTTATTTATTATTTTTTTAATCTGAAGTTGTCAATGAATCGGGAGCTTATATTCTAATAATAGGGTATATTGCAAACATTTATTCGTGGTCCGCTGCTAGTTATAATTGCATATGAAATATTTGATTTCATGTTAACTTTGGTCAAGTCTGTATATTGCATGGCCATGCTTCCTGTTTGTTAGTCTTATAAGCCGTCCTTCGTGTTGCTATTTTTCATTGTTATAATTTTAATATAATGCAATCCCTCCTGTTTATTCGACATAGGTCCTTGACTCTGCTTAATCAATGCTATCCTAGATGCAAAAATTCTACAGATTAAAAAATAACTTTTATACGTGCAAATCAAAGAAATGTAATTTGAAGGAAATAACAACATATCGAGCTAATTTAGGGGGGGAAAAATACTCATTTTTGTCATCTTATTACATGTATTTCAGAATGCTAATGTTGTATGGAAAGTTCTGTAGGCATCGTTCGTTTACACTGATCTGAAAATTATAGAGTTGCTCATGTCTTTGGGTGACCTGAGATCCATTATAGTATGTTAAGTTCGGCAGGCATTGCTCAGTTATGCTGTACTGAAAGTGATATTTCTTTCCCTGTTGGTTAAATTGCAGGAATATTGTTTCGACTGTGAATTTAGATTGCAAGTTGGATCTTAAAACAATTGCCTTGCAAGCCCGAAATGCTGAGTACAATCCCAAGGTATGAGAATTTTGTAATTAGATTATAATTGCATTCTTTTCCTTTTTTTAGTCTGACTGAGTTTTGTAAGGGATAATTTAGAGTGAGCTTCATTTCTATGCATTTTACTCATTAAAGGTACAGTGTCTTGCATATTGTTTTCACTCATATAAACTTGTCTTCTCGTAGAAGCATGGAATTTATGATTCTTGTGCTAACCTGAGTAGAGGTCAAATTGGTGAATAAATCATACCTTAGGATATAATGGAGAAATGTGAGATAGCTGAAGTTCAAGTAGCTGCATTAGTAGATTGGAGTTTGGTGTTTAATTTTAGCTAACTTTTCTGCATTTAGTTTACAAAAACTCCTTCTAGATTATTCCTTTCATGGAACTCAGCAAAGTAAATGTCAATTGGTCTCAGTAACTTTGTAGCGTTATTTCAAGCTGGTAAAAACCTTTTTTTTTTTTTTTTGGGAATGAAAAGGTTGAATATCATTTTGGATACTAGTGTTTATTCAATTGGAACATAGGCATAATTATTTACCAGTGGATTATTTATAATTTTTTTTCCTCTGTTGTAGCGTTTTGCTGCAGTTATAATGAGAATAAGAGAACCAAAAACCACAGCATTGATTTTTGCGTCTGGCAAAATGGTGAGCTTTCTAGATGAACCATCATATCTTTTTCCCTGATTTGTAATATTTTATTAATTTCACTGTGCGTGGTAAATGATGACAAGTCCCGATATATAGGCTTCTGTATTGCTCCGTTTATTTTCTGCTTGATTTTCCAAATATAGTTCTGGTTATTTATGTGATATAAATTCACTTTTTTGCATATGCGCTCTTTAGTAGCTCATTTTTTATTTGAGTTTGATAATTTTATTCAAAAACATATCTTGAGCACAACACGAATAGAATTGCACAAACCATGATATAATCAATCTAGTAGCTAATTTTTTATAGGATGTGATGCAATTTAATGCAATCTGGTGCTAGAATTTTATCATTCTTTGGCGTATTTAGGCTTACCCTACCTACTTGTGCTTGGCGTTATAAATTCTCAATTCTCATTCATTTATGCCACGCGTTGTCATATTTGTTTTTATTTATTTATATTTTGTCCCAATCCGAAAGTCTGGTCATGGAATGGTTATTGTTGTGTGGGCAAGGAATTTTTATTATGAATCGTCAATTTTTATTAATTTATGTCAAATGTTTTCAGATTTGTTTTTATTTTTTTATTTTTTGGCCAACCCAAAAGTTCTTAAAAAGAAGATTATTATTATGTAAGCAATGATGTAACACAAGATCTTGGCAAGAACGATTAAGGTTCTTACCAACTACTTGGTACCCTTAAATTACTGTTCGATTTGTCTATTTCTATTCCTTTCTAATATTCTACCACTAATTTTATCAATTTGTTTACCTGACTCAATTTTACCTTTTTGTACCTGTCTAAATTATAGAAGTTTATTACTAATCTAATGTAATTATTACTTAAGTTATCATTTCTTGTTTTATTACACGTCCCTTTAATATTCTCATTTTTGTCACACTTAATTTAGATATAATTAATTCTTTTTATAGCTCAAAATTCAATTGTATATAAAATTGCAAAATTAAATGTGATTTTATAAAATTTACCTTAAGTTTTTGTGATGTTCTTTTATCTTTAGAACTTTCAATACACTTCTCCATATCAAATATTCAGTTTTCATTTTGGAAGTTCTATTCTCGTATATATCTCTATGTTATAAATTTTGTGTGCTAAACGTAATCACATTTAGGTATCATCTTAAGTTTTAATAAATTTCAATGATAATTATTAATATTATAATTATTAAAATTACGTATCATATGCTCATTTATTGTTCTACTAATCTAAGATTTCATTCTTCTAAACATTCCTTTATTTTTATAGCTTTTAATTTACTTCAAGTGATGTTTCATAAATTACAACTATATCATCTACCAAAGAATACGCCTAGGTGCTTTATTTTAAATTATCTTTTGCATGCATCTTATAACTAATATAAAGGAAATGAGCTAAGTTTTGATCATTCATGTAAACTTTTGGTAATTGGAAATATTTGTGTTATTTTATAGCTACTTAAATACTAACAAGTGTTTCTTAATCTCTTTAAAAAATTCAAAACATTTTTTTACACAATTTTCTTACCTTAAAGCATGCCAAATTAATCTTATTGTTACTTGATATTATATCTTGTAAAAATCATATGAAGATAATTTCTTTATCCTTTGTATGCATTCATTAATTACCTTAGTAGAAAAATTACTCTCACAGTATATCTTCTCTGCATAAGTCAAATTAGTTCCCCAAAATTGATGTAATTTATTTAATTCTTTGTACCATTGCATTTTCTCATGCTTTTATTGTATGATTTGAATATTTTCTTTCTCTATAACTATCACAATCTTGAATATCATTTTTTGTTCTTAAATATTAGTGCCTAGTTTTTTTAATTATTTAACAACCTTATAATTTTTGGAATTTTATTGAAATATTTATTAATTAATTCACAGTTAAATTCTCTATAATTGTCTAAAGCTTGATAGGTTTTTCATTTGGACCAAAAATCTTATCTTTATGCATCTTTTAATAGCCAACTTCTCTTCATATTTTTTTATCAATCTATTGTAACTTCTATTATATTAGTTGTTTTGTTCTTCTAAAAATAATTATTTTTTATACTCTTATTTATTTCTTAAAGCAACTTTTTCATCTTTTTTTGATGACTTTATTATTAATTTTATATATTATGATCTTTAATACATTTACCTTCATAAAAATTTATAGATCCTTTATATCTAGTTTTAGCTTTTAGCATGTTTTTTCTCTATCCTTTTTATTCTTTTTACTTTAATTGTTAAGCTTATTGCATAAATCGTCATAAGTTATATATTTATGCACTACTTTAAAGACTATTTTATTTCTCATATTTTAAAACCACTATTTTTTTCTTGATAACTTTTTTCTTTCTTTACCATCAAATTTCCTTATAAGTGTATGTTATATTGGTCCGTTTACATATCCATAAAACTCATTTGGATAAGGGCTGTTGACATACATAACACATAGTTCTTTTGAATTTATGTATCTAACACCTTAACTTTCATATTTACTTACAGTACTGCTTAAATCTTTTGCATCACATCAAAAGCACTACTATTATTAACATTTTAAAAATGAACTGTACATTTTCATGCATAGGTTTATGACATTAAAGTGTTATAAATGTAAATATGAATGTTTAGTTGTTCGATGTGTAAATACAAAAGAATTGTGGGGTATGTGTGTAAATTTCCCTTTTCATAGCTGTCATTTTACTGCCTAAAATACTAGAAGCTTACTTAAGTGATTACATGTTGCCTTTTTTTATTCAACAGAGAAGCTAAAACGTCATCATTTATGATCTCTATGCAATTGGAATCCAAAATAATTTCTCCTTAAACTTTCTTTTCAGTTTTTATGGTCTGTTTTCGTTGGTAATCTTTTTTCTGAACTGTTATGTATCAGGTGTGCACTGGAGCTAAGAGTGAAATACAATCGAAGCTTGCTGCTCGGAAGGTACAAAGGCTATTTCAATTCTCGTTATTCACGGCGCTTCATTGTATTTGGCCTTTTAGGTTTTTTTATGTTGATAGTTTTATTGGCTGGCATTTTTTCGAAATTAATTTTCTATTTGACGATTGTTTATCTACTTTGAATCTCTTGTATTATACAGTATGCTCGTATTATCCAGAAGCTTGGCTTCCCTGCTAAATTCAAGGTAATTATTACATCACCACTTAGGCCTCATTTGGTTGCTTGCATATAGAAAATATGTTTGAGAAATTTCTAATTCGGCTTTCTTATTGTGAGGTTGAAAATGAAATCATCATTTTTGAGGGAGTTTTGATGATATTTGTGAAGTTTAAAGTTAATATGTTGGCGTCTCAACCACTTTTAATTAAGTGATGAATTTAACAAATTCTATTGATTTTCATAGTATAATTTGTTGATTTTGCTGCAGTTTATTTTAAACACTTTTATTTACTTATTTATCTTCATTCATTGAATTTAGGATTTTAAGATTCAGAACATTGTTGGTTCTTGTGATGTGAAGTTTCCCATAAGATTGGAGGGCTTAGCCTACTCTCATGGTGCTTTCTCCAGCGTAAGTTGTAATTTCTAGTGGGATTTATTGTATTGCTTGTTTGTTGCATTTTCCCTTTATGCTTCTATATATTTTCTTGAAAAAACTTCATGGTGAGATGAGAAATATTAGCCTTTTTTTTTTCTATTCTGCTGTTATGTTATTGCTTCTTCTACATCTTTAAATCTAGATATCTTTTTTCAAATTATAATATCTTTTTTCGAATTTATGTTTAATAGTATGAACCAGAATTGTTTCCTGGTCTGATTTATCGGATGAAACAGCCAAAAATTGTACTGCTCATTTTTGTGTCAGGCAAGATTGTTCTAACTGGTGCAAAGGTAAGCAAGAATATTGTTTGGATATTATGCTTGTTATGGCTTATTTCACTTTAGAGTAATCTCCTTTCTGATTCAACCGCTCAGGTGAGAGATGAGACATACACTGCATTTGAGAATATTTATCCTGTGCTGACAGAATTCAGGAAAACCCAGCAATGGTAACCCTATCCTCCCTCTCTCCCTCTTTCTCTCTCCTCTCTTTCTCCACACAATCACTAGCAACTTTTAGAACAACATTATCGTTAGGGGTGTAGATATGCTGAGCTTGAGCGAGCTAGGGAGCTTGTTTCTGTTTGACTCATTTAAAAACATATTTGTATCCTGTTTGAAATTGTCCAGGAACAATGTGTTCATGTTTGGCTCGCTTGAAATAATGGGGACAATTGTTAGAAGACAAACTGAACTTGACCCAAACATGAGCTTTGCACATATAGACGAAATATTTGGCATAGCCGAGAATATATTCCTAAATAAAAATTTTTACAATAATGTCACAATGAATTTATAGCAGTAATTTCTTCGTAATGATATAAAGAAGGTAACTATTTATGATTGTTGTGTTGCAGATATAACCCTCAACTCTCTGTAAGTGTATATAGAGAAGGATGGATGCTCTCCAAATGGGTGATGGAAGGAAGTGGAGAGTGTATTGGTTTTTATTGCCAGTTTTCATCTATAGCTGTAATGTGATTGAGGTTTTAATAAAACTGTCTTCTTTCAACTTCATATTCCTAATTTAAAAATTTCCCTTTTTTTTTTTTGCAGCTTTGTCCTTTCTTCTTCATTGTTTTTTTATTTTTGTTTTTATGTTTGGGGTTTAATGAGAAATAAATTAATTAATGAATTAAAAGGTACCATTATAATCACGTTTATTTTACGATTCTCTTATATTTTAACGAGCATTAGCTCATGTAGTATAATTAAAAAAATCGCCAACTCCATCACAAAGTAGGACCTACTGTCATACAGCCATGATGCGCGGCTGTAATCGGAGAGCGCATGCAGCTATCCACACGTAATAATTAGACCATGTGAGTGCAAGTTGGAGGCCTGTAATTACATGCATACAATTAACAACCTATGTGTTACACTGACATGTATGAAAGTTAACTTGGAAGTGTTGGATAATGTAAACATATAAAAATTTAATGGTAGGTATGTAAATCTTTATATAGCTAATACATATATTTGAAAATTAATTAAATAAAAGAAATTTTACAAACATGCTAAATTCTCATTTATTTGCATATCTAACACCTAAATTTTAATTTTAACATACATATGCTCTTATCATTAATCATGAAAAGATAAATTCATTTTTTAATTTCAAATATTGATGTTTTTTAATATGAACCTGAAAAAAGCAAATTTAGATGTTCCATGTGCAAATAAATTTAAATTGGTTGGTATGAATGTAAATAGATGCCCCTTAAATAAATTCTTTTGGTTATTCAAACGTAGGCCCACAGAGATTTCTGTGGTAATTAACACTAAAAAAATTATATTATAATTGAAATAAAATTATAAGACTGCAATGAGGTCACATTTTAATTTTTATACTTATACAATCTAAGGGTCCGTTTGGAGCAGCTTGTGCGTTTCAGAATAAGTTGTTTATCTTGAAAAGCGGCTCGCATTTAGTATAAAAACCCAAACGCAGTTTCGGATAAGCTGGTGAAACGCGCAAACTAAACAGTACGGCGGCGTTTTAAAAACGCCGCCTGCACTTATAAGCTGCCCTAAACGGACCCTAAATCTTTTATACATCTAAATACCGATAATCATACATAAATAAGGTTATATATATATATTAGTGATATGTCCTTAATCTTCACTGAATATGTATACAATTGTTTGTTTAAATTACTGCTTTGATTCCAAATCTATTTTGGGTGGCTCCAAAAAGAAGATTTTAATGCATGTTCTCAATAGTTCAATAATCACTTTGAAATCATGCTTTACATTTAACAATAAAAAAAAGAGGCCTTTACATACCTACCGCCCAATTTCTATGTATTAACATATTAATTCACCTAAATTTTAATTTTTGCGTGCAAACCACCTAATTCCTACGATTTCAATATAGAGTGGTATATAGGCAAAAATTGAAATTTTGATGATTGATATGCTAATACATAGAAATTGGATGGGTAGATATGTAAATCTCCCCAAAAAAATTAATTGCAGCTGCACACTCTTAACCGCAGATGGGAATGTAGGAGTGCATTTTTATAAACTCCGTGATTAAAATGATCCCATGTAAATGGTCTGGAAACTACTTCGGCTTAATAACTCACAGTTTCTTTGATTGCATCCAGAATCTGCAAATGGTGTTTGGTGAGGTCAGTAATGGCTTCCACTCGCATGAGAGAAACCAAAAAGAGAATTATAATGAAAGAAAAATGAATATGAAGATGACCTTATTCTTTGTTGGCATATAGAAGGGCTCATAAACAAGAGGGAAGGGAGTGTCCAGGCCACACACTCTAGCTATAGGAGCTTCCAGCTGCAAATATACTCAGATGAATCAGATGGAGAGTTATCCAAGTTCCCCCTCTAATAAATTAATAATTTCATTTTCAGTCAATAGTTTTACAAGTTAAAATGGTAGTATTTTTGATGTGATATAAGAGATTTGGCAATATAAATGTAAAAAAAAGTAGAGTTTGGGTGTTAGATATGTAAATATATAGGGGATAGGGTGGTATGCACTAAAATGCCTCTTTTTTATTTCAGTTTTTCTATCTACAAAAAATCAGATGAGACCATTGAAAATTTCTTGGTATGAGGCAATCAACAAGTGAGAGTTAACTTCAGAATCCTTCACAGTTTATGAGTGCAGCTTTAAGTCCTTTAAAGCCAAACTGCTTGCATTCTGAGCCCGATGTCCAGGCTCACAGCTCAGAACTTTGACTTTTATGTGAAAAATGAAGATTTTAAAAGTATTTCTTGAGATTAAAACTCAAAACCTGCTAAAATCTACTAAATTCATGATTTTTTAAAACAATTTGATAGCTTCGCGCAGTTAAATGAGGCTATATGTGAGATAGGAGACAAACTCTGAGGAAGCAGCGTTCTGCAATAGTAGAAGATATCTCAGCACCAAAACCTCCTGTCACAGGAGCTTCATGGCTGACCTGCATAAGTGTTTTTTGTCAAGTACTTTTTTTTTATAATACAAACATGCAAAAAAGAAATATTTATAGTTCCTTACAAGTAGTCTTCCAGTTTTTCTGACAGAAGCTTCCACTGTCTCCTTATCCCAAGGAATCAACGTTCTCAGATCAATAAGTTCGCAAGATATTCCATCCTGCAAATTCTTTACTTATATAACCTTTCCATAGGATGGAAGAACTATAATGGAATACCAAAAATCTTAGAGGATAATCTCGGCATAACAATGATAAAATGGCCGTAAACAAATCATGCAAATATAAAATATAATTTTGTTGAGAAAACTAGTTTAGGCTAATAGAGTTCCATTGTAATGTAAAAAGTAGAAAAAAGGCAGAAGGTGGACAGAAGGCATGAAATTATATACTGTAAGGGAGAGCTAATCTGTAAAAATCTACATCCTCACTTCAGTTCTAAATCATATTAGGTAAATCAGTAAATAGTAACATTAGAAAAAATTTTAAGAAAACCTGCAAAAAAACTATATCTTTAGTCAATTGTCATGCCAGCGTAAGCGTTTATATGATTATATATCGAAAAAGAATAGAGCATTGAAAAAAGATGACAAAGGAGAAAATCTTCATTAAAGAGAAAATGTTACAGATTCTTCCTATAAACAATTAACTCATATTTTTCCCATAGATTGCAGCTGGGGAGAGCAACGAGAAAGCATGCATAAAAGACTAGGATGAGGAAGTTGATGGCTTCGAGGGAAAGAGAGGGAAAGAGATTAGAGAACTGGGCATAGTACATGCATATTAAGAGGGATAGATGATTCGAGAGACTCGTACTGTTAGAAGGGATAGATTTTGTAAATGATTACTTCAGTGTGAAACTAGTTGAAGGATATGTGCTTGTATATACTTAAGAGAAGAGAGCAACGAAGAAAAGTATATTAAAGAAGATATTCTTATTAGTAAAGGCATATATCATAAAAAAAAATTGAAATTTTTTACCATTAATAATCAACACATGTAATTTAAATATGACAAGAAGTAAAAATCCCATCTTGCAAGAAGTGGAACCATTTTCTTAAACATAAAGTAGAAACTAACGAATTTATTTGCTGCTATATAACCATTTTTGTCAATACCTAAAGAAGCTCAATAGTGAAGATAAAAATTAAAATTTTCTTGTCAGTTAAAAAGGTATTTGGCATGCTGCATCCCAGAGTTGCAGATTTCAGTAGTTAAAAACATGGGCTTGACATAAAATATTCATAAAAGACGGACCTTTGCAGCATCATCGGAAGCTTGTTCTAAAACTGAAATTTGAGCTCCCCAACCAACAAGTGTTATATCACTACCTTGACGAATCACCTCTGCCTCAGAGAGAGGCAACATATAGTCATGCTCGGGAACTTCTTCGACAGCCAATCTGTAGAGCCACTGGATGATGATCACAAGAACATTAGACATGGGACGTAAATAAACAAATCTAAGACTACATTTTTTTGAATCCTTTAATTCACAGCATATAAGGGAATTAGCACATTTTGCTTGGGGGCTATTAGGAATTACTTTTGGTTTTCATTTTTTTTTTCTTTTGGCTCTATAAAAATATTTTGATTCGTATTTTCTGTTTTTTGTTTTGAAATCAACTCAAGCTGTTTTTGAAAATACCCAAAAGAACTTTTTAAGAGTCAATTTAAGTGTTTTTATTCTCCCTCTTTTTTCTTCTTCTTTTTCTTTTTGAATGAAAGCCACCTTTGCCACCATCGACCATCCACCCACAACTACCACAACCATTGGCAGCTGCCATTGCAATCACCCCCTTATGCAATATTCAATAAAAATAAAAACAACTAATTAAGATACCAAACATCTTTTTTTTAATTAAAAGATAAAAAAAAAATCTCAAACCATGTCTTGTTTATAGCATCACAGAGACCAATTATATAGGGCAAAACTAGAAGTAACAAACATAAAGAAATTGTTAAACTATGCCTTTTGAAAAGATAAGTAACCCATCAGAATTAAACATAGGAGAATAAGATGGAGAATGAATGGACATACATGTAATTAGAGAATGTCTACTTTATGGGTCAAAGATGATGAGCACAAAGGAATCAACCTCACGGTGGAAAGAAAGAAAATGTTAAATGGATATAAAGGCAAATGAAAGAATAAAATGATAATAAGAAACTTATAATAGGAGCAGCACCTAATAAAGATAAGATAGTAGAAATAAGGCAATTGCTTTGGGCATATACAGCTGAGAGCAGATAGAATTCAAGAGGATTGAAAAGAAAGAAAAACAAAAGTTGCATCCAAAGAATTCACAGAAACAGAATTAAAACGTTGTGTAGTCGTTGATAAGAAATGAATGAAAATTATTTTTCACAAAGCCAACCCAAAATATTGGGACAAGGCTCAAATTGCTGAATAGATAAATGAATCACATCCGGTGCATCAACTTCGGTGCTAATCATGCATATTTCAATTGTGTTATGACAAAAACACCAAGCTTAAGCTCCACAAAACAGAATACAACAAACAAAACAACAAAATAATCCCGCTACCTTGGGTTCAAAAAACACGACCGGATTTGGATCACGAATGCTGGATAGTAAAAGGCCCTTTGCTTGCCTCGGGCTTCGAGGTATCACAACCTGAAAAATTGAAACATACTTCAAATCGTTACAGTAATCATTTAAAAGATGTAATGCATGGGTCAACTACTTTCTGCAAAAATATGGTGCAAAATCCAACTTTCAACTTAATATTACATAGTTGAAAAAAATGTCAAAATAGTCCCCTGCCTTTTATAGGGGGGCATTTAAGTACCATAGTCTAAAAAAGTATCAATAAAAGAGTATTTCAGCCCCAATTAAAAAAGGCTGGAGACTAAGTTAACGTTTTTATAGACTATGGGACTAAAATTAGAGAACTATTTTGACACTTTATGCTTACATAATTAGTCTGGCCGCCTGCCACTTATTATGCTTCATGCGACTGATCACTAGATGCGAAAAAGTTCAGGTGAAGTAAATACAGAATAGTAAAAAGATTGACCTTAAGACCAGGAACATGACAGAAGAAAGCCTCCGGTGATTGTGAATGATAATGGCCGCCATGGCCGACTGCTCCATACGGGCTTCTTATAGTCAAACCTACAGAAACAAATTATCTTATAATATCATTCAGAACAATGAAGCTTATATAGAAATTTAAAAAACGTTACCTCCACAGTTGAATTCATTACCACTTCGGTATCTGAACTTAGCTGCTTCATTAACAATCTGCAGAGCAAAGGAAAAGATTTTTCTTTTAGGGACATTTACATACATAACCCACACAAAAACTTTCATATTTACACGCATAGCACTCAAATGTCTAATATCACATAAAAAAAATAATATTACCACTTTTTTTGAAAAAGTATCTTTCAGGCATAGATTTAGAACATCAAGATGCTATGTAAATATGAAAGTTTAGATGTGAGATATGTAAATACACAGTGCGCTGCATATGTAACTTTTCAGTTCTTTTAAAATTTCTCATAGCAGTTTGAATAACAAATAAATTTCCTGCCGGAGAGTGATTCATGAGAATAGGAATTGACCTTGATTGCCTAGGTCTTTTTTTATCTCGCACACACATGCATTCTAGTAGAGAATATGTAAACATTCTTATGCCCACAATCTCTACTTAATTATTTGTTCTAGTGAGAACTAAAAAAGTTGCAATATCAAAATCAATTCTCACCATCGCCTTGATTTACCTCGAAAAAGAAAGTGATCTCGTAAAAATAGTGTAAGTTCCCAAAAGGTAACTAAAGAATCATCTGACTAATAGCATCATAAGACTTAGGGTGCATTTGGGGCAACTTTTTAGCTACGACGCGGCCACAAAACGCAGAAACTCGTGCTTGGAAACTATGATACGTCGGCGGTATGGGATAATCTTATGTAAATGTGAGTCGCGGGTTGGACCTCGTGGCCCGAGTTTTGATCGTGTGATTTCCTTCGCGTGCCCTCAATTTTGTTTGCGTTGTGCTTGGCATCAGTGCCCTAGCTCCCCTCTCCTCTTCTAACTCTGATCGACGGTCTACGGTGGCACTCTCATCTCGTTCCTCCCTGCTCGCTGGTTCCAAGCCCATCTTTTCTCTTCCGTCCTCTAGTATTTCTTACGCCTCACTTTCCCCTTGTCTTATCTCCTTTTGTGAGGTATGCGGTTGATGTTGGGCTGTGGTTTTTGGCTTTCCTCGCGGTAACTTGGTTTTTACGAATCGTTCTACGTGCTTATGGCTGTGATTACCGTCTGTGGCTTGGTGTCTTGCGATTTATGGCTTAGCTCTGTGATTGCCACTTGTGGCCTGATTTTTTGCGGTTCTTATGGAGAAATTGATGAAAGCAATTAAGAGAGAAGTTCATGAAAAATTTTGTCGTTTGTGGCTTGTTTTTTTACATTTTATAGCTTATGTCTGTGATTGCCTCTTGTGGCTTGGCTTTTGCGGATCCTATTGAGAAATTGATGAAAGCATATGAGAGAGAAATTTTTTTTATTTTTTTGGTTTTTTTTTTGTTTATGACTGCCAAGTGATTGACTTTTGTCGGTTGGTTTTATGGATCCTATGGAGAAATTGATAAAAATATTTGAGACAAATTTTTACTTTTTTTGGCTTTATTTTTTTCTGGTTATGGCATAACTTTGTGATCGCCTTTTGTGGGTTGGTTTTGTGGATCCTATGGAGAAACTAATGAAAACATTTGAGAGAGAAATTCATGAAAAAAGTTTTCATTTTTGTGTGGCTTTATTTTTTTGGTTTATGGCTTAGCTCTGTCAATGCCTTTAGTGGACTGATTTTATGAATTTTTATGGATAATTTGGTAAAGAAATTTGAGAAGAAAATTCATAAAAATTTTTGCCATTTGTGGCTTGCTTAGGGATTCACTATATGGAATCATTGAAAAAAAGGAGGAAATGGTGGCTGTGTTGGTGTCCTGTGCTGGCCATATGTGTTTTTGGTGGCTGTGAGCTGGTGATGGTCGTTTTTTGTTGGGCGTTTGTGTGGTGATGCTGGTGATGGTAATTGGGTGGTGTGGTGATTGTGGTGGTAGTGGTTATGTGGTGGGCGAGGTGGTGGTGGTTGTGTGGTGGTGGGGGTAAGTGGGTGATAGTGGTTGGGTGTTAGTGGTCAGCCACGAAGCTACAAGAGATAGTTTTAGAGATGCCAATGAAAAATCATAGAAAACTGTGACTATTTTCTGTAGGCATATAGGCAAGAAGATTCCACCACCGAGAGTGATCGGGCGTAGAAAGTATCTCTGGAGGATGACTTATCTCGTGACATAGGATGTTTGTATTTTTAAAATAATATTACATATTATTAATTATTATTTTAATAATTATTTTCTTAATTTTGGTAGTCATGCTACTCACTATTTAGTGATGTGAGTATCTTTATTTTGTAATGTTCTGCACTGAATATTTGTTCTCAAATAAGAAATGTACTAGTATGAACAACTATGTTGCCAACAACATTATTATGCATGGACATAATGGTCATTTGTCCAGAAACAGCTGCAACATAGTTGTTTTTAAACTGCAAAAATCAAACAGACAAACAATTTATCCACAATAGTTTCTGCACAACAAGCTATTATTAAATTGTAGCTGCCCCAAACAGACCTTTGATAAAAAAAGAAAGAAGAAATCCCCTAGAATAAGTTCTACATTGTTCTTACCTCATTAATCTTCATTATTAACATTACAGCCCCACCTGCTAGAAAGCAGAAAAGCAGCCAAATGTAAATGTTATCCTAACAGCAAGGGTAGTGTTCGATATAAAGCACACACTCAAGTTTTGCTGATTTTAATAATTTTTTCGGTTTTAAATTTCAAATAAATAATAATTTCATTAATAGAGGAAGAAAAAATCACGTCTACAATGTTTAACCATGAATATAAGGTGATGATGATTATCTGAACATGAAATATTTTCAAAGTTGATGACAGGATAGCTTTTATTGTTTATATTAGTTATTGTATTAGGAAATACGATAATTGTTATTTTGTTTTGAGTATATTTTTTTTTTCTCACATAAAATTTAGGTCATATTTTTAATCATTGAATAATTACAAGAATAATACTTTAAATTTTCATCCACAGCAACTATCTAGGCGGCATAATTGTAGGCATGTATAGCTTATATTAAATGAAATACATGCCTGGTCAAAGGCAGGAAAGATGTAGTCTGCAAATTGGATTTCAGCTATAGCTCGATTTCCCTGTCAATCAAACGAGAAGGTTCAATGTCGAATAGAACATAAAAACTAAAAGAAAACTTTAAACAAATGTAAAAAAAAGGAAAAAAATTAGGTTGGGAAACATAAAGCAATAAAGCATAATTGAGGAAAGGATCACCATTGCCGCCAATCCTATAGCAAATCCAGCAATTCCCTGCATCGTAAGATACGTCAGAAAAATAAAAATGAGAAGGCTGCGAGAGGAAAACAAGGAGAAGAAACTAAGCACTTAGATTCATCAATAACACTAATATTAAGTCGTCGATAAACAACACCGAGACGAGCTTTAAACAAAATCATATATTTTTGAATGAGAAAAGAGTCAAAACAGTCCCCAATTCTTTGGAAGGGTCATTTTAATCCCATAGTTAATAAAAATATCAATTTGGTCCCCAAACCCTTTTAATATGAGATGAAAGCCTCAATTTAAAGATTTTGATCACTACTTTGACACTTTTATACAGTTTGGGACTAAAACAGCCCCATGTAAATAATCAGGGGACTATTTTGAAACCATACTCATTTTTTAGTACTATGCTAAACAGCTTTTACCACGATTATCTGGTAAATGTTACAAAACTGTGATTAAGCAGTCCATGCTGTAAAGCTACTCGTTTTTTGACAAAAACTTACAGCACTATTTAATCATTTATATACCTGTTCACATAGCGGGGTGTTGAATACTCTATTTCGACCAAATCGATCAACTAATCCAGTCGTGCAGCGGAAGACACCACCAAAGCCCACGTCCTCTCCAAAGACATAAGCACTACAAAAAAAAAAAACAATGAGTAGCTAAGTAAAATTAGACAGCAACAGGAATCTGTGCAAATTCTAATGACATTCACTAAACATGTGTGGCTGGAAGATAAGATGGTAACAGATGATGCCAATTTGGACAAATTTCAATCCTTTTCTCCACTAAAAGCACCCTCATGGGATTGAAAGTCTCACTTGGTCTCCCATTTTTAACATGAATACAGCAAAAGAAATGCTTATTGTAACACAATCAAAATTACATTGAAAATGAGCTAATATAGTCAAACGATGACTCTTAATTGGGTCATAAAGTTCACTTAATTCATAACATATGAAAAAAACATAATATTTACACACTTGGCAGTTGTAATAGAATTATCAACTTTTTTTTTCCTCCCACCACTACTTTAAGAACACATTCTGCTTAGAGGAAATGGAAACAACATTGATTTGCTTAGTAAGTTACAATGTTCTTTTTTGATGATAGTAAAATCAGTTCATTAGAAGTTCAAAAAGTATGAGTTTTGTTCAGTCAATAAATCTACCAGATTTGCTTGCACTTTTCTTGCCGGCAACACTGGTAAGGAGTTGATAAAGTATGTGCTAGCTAGGGCTGTCAATTTGGCTTGTTGTTCACGAACAGCTTGTGTTCGGCACATTAAACAGCTCGTGTTCGGCTCGTTCGTTAAGCCCAACGAACACAACACGAACAAATTTTTAAGCTCAAAATGTAAACGAGCCAAACACAAATAAAAGTTTGTTCGCTCGTGTTTGGCTCAAATTAGCTCGAAAAAAAATAAATAAATAAATATATACATAATAAATATACATAAAATTAAATATTATAAATTATAATTAATTAATTTTTATACAAATTTTTTAAGGAAAATTATTATTTTAATTTTATTTAAAAAAATGAATTATTTTAATAATTTTCTATTCTAACGAGACAATTTTGAGCCGAACATGAATATGAATAAGTTTTATTAGCCGAACACAAACATACTGTTCAATAGTCATTTCAAACACGAGGCAATTTCGAATGAGTGGAACACGAGCCCAGCTTGAGTTCGCTCAAGCTAGGCTCGTTTACAGCCCTAGTACTAGCGTGTGAAATTCTATGTAGATTAAAGAGAATATTTAGGAACCGTTTGACAACTTTTGGGGTTTAACTCAAGTATAATTTAGTAAATCCTGTAAACTCAGATTTATTAGATCATTTCCTGTTTAAATCCTAAAGTATGTTTGGTATTGGATTAGATAAAGCCAATTAATCCTGTAAAACTGTTTGGTAACTTCTTCCATGATTTCAATTTGTTGTCTTAGCCTTAGATTAAAATATTGATCATAAATAATTTTTTTATACTACTAAAATTCTGTAGCATGCAAAAGACAAATGAAATTTAAAGGTAAAACTGCATGCATGGACAATCATTGCTACAACATTAACTTATCATAATTGATAGGTATTTCAACCTCACGTTACAAGTTATCGTATCATCTAATGACTTCATCAAATTTTTATCGCTAGAATCAAAATGCCATTTTTTAAATCAGAACAGGTTCACAACTTTATTTGACTATTGTAAGAGATTGCAACATAGATATGGAAAAAGAAATGACTTTACTTCTACATAATTGATGACATTTGTATCGTTTGATCGCCAGTTCGTGTATGTTGATCAGGTTAGGAGGGGTCAACTGCTAGCATAAGGGTGATGCATTAGTTCGTGGGCGAATATGTATTTCAAGTGCTACAGAGACAATATTAAATGGTTGATTTAGGTCATACTAAGAATGAGAAATTATTAGCATCATCTCGTGGATATCATTATAATTTGAGTGAATGTCACGGAATCGAATCTGTAAGTATTCAACATCGTAAAGCTATATAATAATCATCATGCCTAGCTACATGACATAATTTTAAAAAAAAAATCAATATATGAAAAAATAAAATTCCAAACAGTAGGTTGCGTGAGTTGGCGGTTGGTGATGAGTACCCCAAAATACATGAATCTATCAGAAAGAGAGCTCAGGGTGATGCAATGAAACATAAAATCATCACGAACATGTGGAATGCATATGTAAAACATCTAACTCATTCATCTAAATATAAGGATATTTGTATGGTACAATTTAATAATATATTATTTTAACTACAGAAGATAGGACGAAGAGGTCACCAAGCTTAAGCATCTTCTTCATACATTCGTCCTATCTTTTGCAGTTAAAATAATATATTTTCATGACATTCCATTCGAATTTACGAAAATAATAGGAATCAATTATGCAGGTAGGAATAGTTCAAACTCCACATTTTTTTAAGAGAAATTTACAGACAAAGAATACAATTTTTATGTATCACTTTGGTGTATTAAGCCTGTACATGAAAAGAAGTATTTCACTATTAAAAAGTTATAATAGTTCTATTTTTTATGTGATATTAAAAATCCGAGTGTTGTGCGTAAATATGAAAATTTAGGAGTAAGAAATGTAAGTACATACAAATTATGTGCCATGTATGTAAATGCCCCTTTTTTTTCATGCAAATGCCCCTTCTTTTCGTATTGTAATACACAATCTATGATGTTCACATCAGACTGCATCACATATATCTATTAAACCAAACAACTAGGAGTTTGAACTTCTTCTAATCATTCACAAAATAAACTCCACTAAATAATGAACAATCATAAATCCATCTCCGAAAAGAATTTTCTTATTTTAAATAGAGCACTGTAAGTTTTCTGATTCAAGTTTAGCAGGGTTGATAAACTTGGATTGAATTAAACAGCAGCGTCAAACGATCTCCCAATCCTTCCAACAGCATTCTACCCCAAAACTTCCAAATTTCTATTCATAGCCGAATAAAAAAATTAAAAAAAAAACTACTAAAATACAATTAGTACATCTCCCGCGGCAGAAAGTTCAGTCAACAAACAACCAAATGCATTCTAGATTTTATACTAATCAAATCAGCCACTCCAAAAACCCTAAAAAAAGTTAATAACTCTAATTCTACCGAAAAATCCCGTTTTAATGCCATTGTTTTCCACAAAACTGGAATATAAGCAAAATGGAGGAAAAAAAGGGTTAAATTTCCAATATTTAAAAGTAGAACTATTACCGGGGGTCTGTTTCGAGAGCTATATGCAGAGCCTGGTTGATGGCAGAGAAGAGATTGATTGGCTTTCCCTCACTCCCCAATTTCTCCACCTCACAAGATGATGAGAAGCTCCTCGTCGCAGCTGCTAGCCCTCTTCCCATTTCCCTCCTCAGAACCCTCGCCATTCTCGATCAACTTCAGAGGTCAACTGAAATATGAGAGAGAGAGAGAGAGAGAGAGAGAGACTCCGCCGGCTAAAGGGTAAACTGCCACTCTTGAGAGGATAAGAGCAAGCTTCTCCGGTCACTCAACATGCTATCACCAGATGGAAGAGAAGTAACGGTCACGATGTAATCATCAATCACTGTTTATCTGTTTTGGACTTTACAGCGGATTTTAAAAGTGATGTCTTGTAATTAATATTATCTTCGTTTTAATTAACAGGGCACAATCACGCTAATCCGGTGTAGTGGCGGGCACCCTCTCCCATGAACTGATTTTTATTTATATGGATCATTACAATCCTTATAAAAATATCAATATATTTTTATATTTATTAAATTGATGTTGAAATAATTCTCATAGAAGCTATTAGAATTCGATTTTAAATTTTCATATTTACATTCAAAATATTTTGATATCAAAACCAAAATTTGAAAATGTGACCACATACCATTTAGGACCCATTTGGGGCAATTTACAAATGCGGGCGGCGTTTTTACTGTACCGTTTGGTTCGCCTGTTTCGCCAGCTTATCTGAAATCGCGTTTGAGTTTTTACACTAAACGCAAGCCACGGATCGAACCCCGCGGTTCGCCAATGGGCAGTTTATCCTGAAACACACAAGCTGCCCCAAAGTATTTATATGCCTAGCAAGTAGCACCTTTACTTCAATTTTTATATATACGTCATCTTATCTAACATTAAAATATGTATTTTACATTTAAAAAAATTAAAATAGTAATAGTTTTTATGTAATATAAAAAATTTGGGTATATATGTAAGAATAGTAATGCTTTTTCACTGCCTTTTTACCAGCTTTAATTCATGTTGCAGCTTGTGCTAAATGAAAGTTACATTGAAATTAAGTATTTAGAATAGAATTATTGAAGCAAAATATAAATTATTATTATTTTACTTCAAATTACTAAAAAGCCATTAAAATTTATGATGGCCCCAGGAAGGAATATGAATGATATGCCTGCCATATAGCTGTTTAGGCATCAGCAGCTGTGATGATGCTGAAACTGAGGAAAGAGGTCCCCTCAGCAATGCTGCCATTGCCTTTTCAATTGATTATATTGACAGTTTTGTTCTTCTAAGAGTAAAGTTTGATTATTATAGGCTTGATCTTGATAATATATACTCGTACTACTTTGACTCGGGTTGATCAAGTCGTGAAGCGGACCCAAAATAAGTCCAAGGTGCTATCGATCGAGCCCCGGGGATCATAAGTTGAAAATACACGAGCTTTTGTTCTCGGAGATTTTCTTCTTTATCTTTTCAAGTCTCATCTCTTTAAGCTTGATCAATTGACCTAGCCGATAATAGAATAGTTGTAGAGCGAGATGAAGATAAGTGAGAGAGAGTGTTGCTCAAAACTCCAAAAAAAAAAAAAAATCATAATCCTTGTTTTCATTTAGTACACCCTATTTATAATGACTGTCTTTCATAAAATGTTACGTTTAGTCTCATGGTACCACTTTTGGTCAATCTTTGGAGGATCGTGGCCGACTTCTAGTGTCTGCTTGGTTTGGTTGACTTCTAATGGTTGCCTGGTTGTGATCGGCCTCTGGTGGTTGTCTGGTTGTGATCAACCCTTGGTGGTCTTCTCGTCGTCGTCGGCATCTCGCATGTGGTTGCTCTGTTGACTCATCTTCAATCCTTAAATATCTTGAGTTCGTCTTGTTATACTTGTCGGGATATAATCTACCCGATGAGTTTTAAGTTGGAACTCGAAGTGAAAGCGCTTCAACTATTGATGGCTCGAACAACAGCTGTTCAGTTGTCCGAACAAAATTGGTAGAGTTATATTTATTATGCATTTTATTTGAAAGTTTTTTTTTTAATTTTAATAAACTAATCAACTTGTATATGAAAATACTCAAAAAAACAGTAATATGTTTTGAGTATTTAAAAATTTTTTAAAATAAATATATATAAACATATATTAAATATATTTTATTTCAATCAAAATACAAAATAACATAAAATAAAAACTAAAAATATAAAAGGACAGGCAAAAATGATCTCAAAGTGGCCCTAATTAATTTGACACAATTTTTTGAAATTTGTTGTGAAAATATTGAATTAATTCTAAATAAATCTCTAATTTGCATTAGAGCTTCATTAGTACTGTGATCGCAATACTTTGAAGATGAATCTGCCTAGAGAAGTGGGAAAAAATATTCGGCCCGTACGTTCGGGCGGCCAACCACAGACCGCCACGTCGCCCACCGATGAGGTGTATGGCGACGTAGCGCTGGTGGTTGACCGTCAAAAAGTGCGGTGTCCGGGGGGAATATTTTCTCGAGAAATGGTGCCGTGAAAGAAACCTCTGCCTAATTAATACAGTGGTGTTCACTAATAATTGGAAACTTAGTTCATATTAGAAGGAAGTGGGGGCATTTACAAGCATACCCAACCATTCTTATGTATCAACATATCACAAGGACTCGGAAACTTTGATTTTTTTTTTTCATTTATATCCTCCAAATCTTTCATATATTTTAACTTTTATGAAGTGGAATACCAAGTATAGATATAGTTGGCGTAAATGTAAAAATTGAAGTATAGATGTTAGATATGTAAATACATGAGAAATTAGTGACATGTATGTAAATCTTCCTACAGTGAAATGCTTGAAAACCGGCGGAATCTCCTCCGGAGGCCGTCTGAAATGCAGAAAATGATGTTCATTGCAGCAGATGGAGATCTGTTCCACATTTCTTTGTTTTTATTCCTCTTTTCATTTAGCATTTTTCTTACTGAGAACATTGAAATGTTGGTCTTCTATGTAGTGTTTTGAAAGCAACTCGTTGATTCATTAATTAAAGATATATGTAATGTCATGCACTCATCTACAACACATTACTAAAACACTGTCGGCAATGTATTGACCTTTTTTGTTTGTATATTCCCAAGTTTATTAGCACAGTAACCATTTATTTGGGGCATAGTCCTTTCAAGAAGTGGTCGTTTAGTCCATGGTCCGTTGGATGGTCGGTGCAAGGTCAGCTTAGCTTCAGGGTCTATCCCTCGGTGTGGTCAGTACTCAATACTGTCGGGCAGCGAAGCTTTCACTTGTTCACTTAATATGACGGTTCACCAGGGCCTCTTTCCTCCTCCCTTTTTAGCTCACTCGTAGGGGTCTGGACCCCCACTAAGGGGGAGGGAGTCGACTGAATATCTCAGCCATTGGCGGGAATTTCGCTCGCATCCGATCCCCAATTCTTGCTCACCTCAGATGATCGTGTTGGGTGAATTGTGACCTCGTACGATCATGTTGGGTGAGCAACAACCGCTTCGTAACAGCACAGTACTGACTTATGGGCTAACGGGTATGGTCTATTTATAGATTTTATGAGTAACATTTTCTGTAAATACTACAAGAATTTGGATCACTCCATCGGATGGCCAAGGGAGATCTATTTTTTCAGATAATATTTGAAGAGAGACGTGAACATGGAAGAAAAATTTGTAGGAGCTCCACCGCAGCCGCTGCTCGCCACCGCCGTTATCTAGCCGTTATCTAGGCACCGTCATCGAGCCACCATCCCCGCTAGACCATCGACACCGCTGCCCAACCACTGTTTTGAACCGCCGTTGCTATTAGGTCACTGCTGCCTTGCCATTGTCACTGCCTCCGTCTGACCACCGCAGATTAGCCATTGTCACCACCGAACCACCGTCGTCAATGCCCCACCACAGCCATCAGGCAGCCTCCGCCACCGAACTACCGATGCCCAACCACCGCCATCGAGCCACCACCAAGGTCGTACCATCTTCTTTGAGCCACCACTACCATCGAACCACCCCCACCCAGCCACCGCCACTCCACTATCAAACCATCGTTGATCGACCATCGTCATTTGGTACAACCACCTCTAGACCATCGTCATTGCCACAAGACCATCATAGTCTAAGCGACATCGTCGCTGAACTACCACTACTTGGCCACCGCCTTTTGACCACTGCTGATCAACCATCTTTGTCAAGCCACTGCCACCATCGCTGCTCGATTATCACCGTCAAGCCAGAACACAACCGAAACACACTTGTCGAATCACCGTCATCTGACCATCTCCATTACCTTAACCGAACCGTCGTCGTTTAGTTGCAGTAGTCGCCATCAGACCACATATGTCCAACCCGCACCAATGTTAACATCGAACCACCACCACCGCTGTCGGACTATCATCGCCACAACCAAACCTCTGTTACTCGACCATCACTGTAGGCGTCTCTATCGCCGAAGCTGGCATTAGACTTTCTGATAACCAACCTCCATCATCATCTTTTCTTCACTAAAGCCGGGTCACTACTATTTCCTTAGCATTTTCTGTCAATTCCCTACCCAAAGTCACACCCACTTATGAAATATTGCTTCTTGTTGCTCAAGGGCTATTGATCAGACCCCTGTGGTTTTTGTTTCTTCAGGTTTTTCACATAAAACATTATGATGTCTTTTCTGTCCATTTCTTTTACTTATATGTGTGTCGGATCTATATACAATACTAAACGTTAATATATCACTCTACCTCCACAAACTTACGAGCACGCAGCAAACGTCTGCCAGAAAAATAGAATGCAAAATTCTCTTATGACATTTATGTGTTAGAAAGCAATTTTGCAAAAAAATACTTGTGTCTTATTTAAATGCATGTAGCACAACTCCTAAAGCAATATAGTGCTCTCCGAATTGTTCATTGGCTGGTTAAAAAAGAGTCAATGGAATCCGAGAAATGTTCACCAATCCGGTTCCAAGGACAAATCCACTGTTTATTTGATTGAGTGCTTATCCTTACTATGCTCTTTGTGGAAATAATATCATTGAAAGCCTTAGCAGAGGCAACGAAGGTTATGTTTGAGTTGGCTTTTGCATGCGCTCTATTTCAGATAGGTCATAGTTTTGTTTGCAGAACAACCTTTTTTGTTATATTGTTTAAGAATTTCTAAAATGAGAAGTTCTTTTTTACAATTAGATCTATGTAAGAAATAGCTATTTTTGACTTCATGAAAAAAAAATATTTATAATTCACACAATAAATTTTTAAGAAATTATTTCCTACATAGCAATAGCCCCAAATGGGCTCTAATTTTTCCTCTCCCTTTCTTTCCTATACAATATATAGCATTGGTTTCTCTTGGAAACATAGATTTTACATAAGAAAACCTAAGAAGGAGAAAATCATGGCAAAGGCCGAGAATTCATTATATAAAATAAGGAATTACAAGTGAAGAGTATCCCTTTTGCACAAAAAAGAAGATGAGTATTTATAATTTTAACAAGACTCATTTAACGAAAATAATTAAATGAGAGCTAATAAATTAATAACACACAAATTGTAATCTAAAGGCTACTATAAGCTTGATATAACGATCGAAACGTTCGATCTGTGTGTTCACAGCTTCAATCCGTGAGGTCATAATTTCTTTATGAGATGATAAGCGGAATTTACAAATTTTTAGTCACAAAGTTAGCAATCTCCACCTTGACATGAATTTACAATGAACATAAAATAAAACTTTCTCCACCTCTTCCACAAAGCTCTAATTATCATGAATAAATACCAACCAAGTCTATGCAATGCTCAAATTTGGCTATTGAGAGTGCTTTAGTTATAATATTTGTGCATGATTAACATGAGTACTGATCTTGCTCACAATAATATCACGACGAGTAATAACTTCACGAACGAAGTAATAATGAACATCAATGTGCTTAATTCTTTCATGAAGTATTTGATCTTTGCTGAGATGAATAACATTCTGATTATCACACATCAATATGATGATCTTCAAATTTTCACTAAGCTCTTTAATCAGATCTTTTAACTAAAATGATTCTTTGTAAGTGTGAGCAATTGTCATGTACTCAACTTCAATTATAGTAGTGTCATTATTATTTGTAAAGTAGCTTTTTAGCTAATCGCATAGCCACCAATAATAAACATGTATCCTGTAAGTGAACACCTTCAAATAAGATCTCTAGCAAAATCTGAATTAACATAGCCAATGACTCTATTTATAATCCTCCTAAATTAATTAAAATATATCTTTTGTTCCACAAAGATATATAATAATCCACTAAACTGTATTTCACTATTATTTACCCGAATTAATCATTTTTCTATTAACTGCACTAACTGCATATCATAAATCTGGACATGAACATATCCTTAAGTACATGAGATATCCCATTTCACTAGAGTATGAAACTCGAAACATATATTCAATCTCATCATTAAATTGTGAACATAAAGCTTATGAAAGTTTGCAATGTACAACTAATAGAGTAGTGGTGTAAACGAGTCGAGTTGAGTCGAGCTCGAGCTTCAGTCTACAATTCAAGCTCGCTCACGAGCCGACTTATTAATTTATTATAAAAGAGAGAACATGATATTAATTTAAGCTCACTTTATAATAAGATGACAAATAAAATGAACAATTAGAAGATAAATAATACAAAATCGTATAATATACAATACACAATATGAGTCATCATGTCAAGTATTTTCGTTGAAGCTCTCAAATCTTTCATCTCAAACTCACTGTTAAGTTGAGCTTTTAATGTCTTGATATCTCTTTTATTCTTAGTAGATATCAATATATTATCGACAAAAAAGAGTAAATAGATAAATAAGAATTTTTTTATTTGAAGTAAATACAACCATCACAACAACTTTGCTTAAACTCACGAGCAATCATGAATGAATCAAATTTTATATACCTTTGTTTTCTAGAAAACTTTCAAACTATAAAGATATTTTATTAATAAACAATCATGATCTTTTTTTTTTTTTTTGTAACCAAGAAACCATCAAACTGTTGCATATAGATGTCATCTTCAAGCTCTCCATGAAAAAATACAGTAATTGCATCTAACTGTTTACGTTCAAGATCATACTTAGCCAAAATACAAAGTAAAGCTTAAAATGTGCTATGTTTAACTACTAGAGAGAATACATCTATAAAGTCTACACCTGAAATTTGACTAGATCCCTTTATAACAAGCCTAGCTTTATATTGGACATTCTCAACTCCTGGTGTACATTTCTTCTTCATAAATACCCATTTGTAGCGAACAAATTTCTTACCTTGAGATAATGTTACCAAATCCTAATTTTTATTTTTATGCTGGGATTTACCTTCTATTGCATAGCGATCATCCACTTTTTAGAGTCAACTGAATTTTACAACTTCATTATAGCTTGAAGTTTCTTCACCACATTCGATACATTTAGCTACATTTAGAGCATCTGCAACCAAATCAGTCGTACAATACCTCTGAGGTAGCTTAATTTCTCTTTTTGTTCTATTCTTAGCAATAAATACTATGATGGTTATTGCTGTGATGGTGGGAAAACAACATCATCATAATTATCTGAATTTAACTCAAAAGTTTATTCTCGAGGATGCACCTCTATCAATCTAAACCTTCACTCATATGTTAAACATTTTCTTATGATCATCACATTTAGATTCTATAGTAGATGTTGTATGTAACATGACAGACTTGTCAACTATAACATCTTTACTAATTATCGGCATCATAACTTATAACCTTTAACTTGAATTTTATAATCAAGAAATACACACTTTGTAGATCTAAGTTCTAATTTATCATTATTAATATGAGCATATGCAAGACAAAAACATAATTCATAAATTAGAGTAACATGTTGGTATACCTGACCAAATATCATATGGACGTTTCTCGTCAATAACAATGGGAAGACAGCGATTCACGAGTAATAAGCTATAGAACCATATTCAACCCAAAATAAATAAAAGAAAAGGGTATTTATAATTTTAACAAGACCCCTTTAAAGAAAATAATTAAGAAAAATCAATAAAGCTATAATGAAGGAATTGCAATCTATAGTTTATTATAAGCTTTATCAAAGCGGTCCGAAACCTTGAATCTATATGCTCAGAGTTTTCTTCTAAAACCTAAATTCACGTAGACATAATTTTATTATGAGACAATAAACGAGACCTACAAATTCGTGTCACAAAATTAGCACTCCTAAATTTAGCTGCTTCATTAATATAAGGATACAAATAAAGCACTAAGTAATGAGCTTGGAAAACATGTCAGAAACGCTTTGCAGAAATGCAGAAACTTCATTATGGAGTCATCAACATCTGTAGAAATTATGGAAGGAAGAGATGTGTGCTGCACATGGAGCTGAATTTAATCTTAATTCAAGCACAATAACTGCAGAAGTTATCACTTGACTCTTGAAATTAGTGCATTTTTTAATTATTAATTAAATAATTTTTATTTTGACTGTTGAGGGGGAAAATTGCAAGACATCAGTTTCTTTCTGATCATAGAAATCAGTGCATTTTTACTGTCATATTTTTTTCCTGTGAAACAGAGGAGGGAGGGAAGGAATTTTGAGTGTTTGGGTTCTCTACCGACAAAAGAATGCGGAGGGAAGAAAAAGAAAGGCAAATAGGACAATCACTATAAAAATATCACAGAGGAGGTCCCATAAAAACCCCACCTTTATCAATCCTCTTTCGCTCTGCTCTACCATGTCCATTTCTCTACCTGGCCTTCTCTTCATTTTTCAACTGGTTTCACTGTCTTCGCCTCTGAATTGAGTTATTAAGCCATGGATTCCTTTTCAAATGCTTCAGTTTCTGGCTGTTTTCGGAAGAGTTTTTGCTCGGAGATGTCTCCCAATGAGCCTGTAATGGTTAGTTCTTATATTTCTGAAGTATGGAGTTTCGAATGTTTCCATTTTCTAAGGAGGAACAGAATTTTTTCTTATCTTAATTTATGTGGATGTAATCTGTCTTCTAGGTGTTGGATGTCTAGTAAGTTGGTCATTTAAATTTCTCTTAGTTTTTAATCCAAGATGGCTTTTTTTTTCTTCCCCGTTCTTCATATTTCACAAGTCAAAAAATTTAATTAATGTGGTCCACTTTTCCATATTTTTGAACTACACAAGCATTTTCCCTTTTTTATTTTTAAAGAATCATTAAAATTTTCAGCTTGAATTACTTTATTCTCATCTTCATCTCTAAATCACTTTTACCAGTCCTGATCAGTCTTAGCCTTAAAACTTTACTTCTACCTCAAGAAATGCTTCTATTCCAGTTACTTTAAATGAATGCCCAGCATTTCCTTCTTACTCCACATCATTAAAATTACACAATTCCCTTAAAATCATCTTATTTCTTCCTCTTCTTCTTCTTCGTCTTCATCAACTCCATTTCAAAAGCCATGATTCTAAGTTCTTCGCCTGAAACTTCCTCTCATCTTCTTTTCATGCAGGAACAAGAAGAAAATGACGACGTTAGTCTAGAGTGGCTATCTATTTTCATGGAAGATTGCCTCTCCGGAAACACATCCTTCTCCATCCCACAAAACCAAACTCCTTCCACCAATCCACCACCACCTCAAACCCTAAAACATAAACCCTCTTCTTCCTCCTCCTCCAATGACATGAAATTCTCAACAAAAACCAAAACCAAAAGACGAAAGCTCGCACCTTTAGAGGAGGAGAACACTCCCCTTCTTCCTCAAACCTACTGGCTCGCAGAAAGTGAGCTCATTCTTCCAAAAAAGGATTTTTATGAGAACAATAAAGCAAAAACCACTGAAGTTGAAGCACAAGCGGTGCCAGGGAAAGATCAAGGACAAGTTCAGCCAAGGAAGTGTACTCATTGCCTCTCACAGAAGACTCCCCAGTGGAGGGCAGGTCCATTGGGCCCCAAGACTCTCTGCAACGCATGTGGTGTGAGGTTCAAGTCTGGCAGACTGTTGCCAGAGTACAGGCCTGCAAAGAGCCCTACTTTTGTGAGCTGCAAGCATTCCAATTCACACAAGAAGGTCATGGAGATGAGGATGGCCATACCCTCTAATCACTTTGGCTTAGAGGATTAGAAAATGTACAAAAATGGCTTTCTGAGTGTGATTCTATCTTCCTTTGTAGTCTTCTTCATTACCTTGAATGTTCATTTGTTTTGTTTGCTTATGTACTAATGCTCCCCAATGGTTTATCTTCCTGTTTTTAATACATGCAATGCTCCCCAAATTTCTTGTTTGAAAGAGATTCCTGCATTTGTTGTTTTCTGTCATCATACAGCAAAATCAAATGATGCAAAATAAACTTTTGTTTGTATTTTTAGAAAAAAAATATATATTATAAAAACCATAATATGAAAATTATATGAAAAGAAATATTTTATTGATCATGTGCGGTCAGTGGGTCACCAATATAGGATCATCATATAAAATTGAACACATCAAGGGATGAAGGAGGAAGAGTATCAGTGTACATGGCATCAAGGCAGTGGTTCTTGCACAAATTTTGGACTAATCTCATTAATATAAAAATATTTTTTTAAATTATTAAGTAAGTTCAGTGATGATGATTAAGTTATCGGAAAAAAATTAATTGTAGAATAGTGAATACTGAGCTTTCATATATAAGAGAGCACTACTAGCTGGCATCACACAAAGCATTCAGAATTGTCAAATTCTACGCATATGCCTGGCATGCAGAAGCCGTCATAAATACTCTTTTTATTTTATTTTTTTCTTATTTTTTTAGAGCCTCAATTGATTTGCCGACACATTCTAAGTACATATATATATATAT